ACACTTGCAGTTCTGAGAGAGCATCATGGTGACCCATACATCTGTGTTAATGATATTATTGTTTGTTGGGTTCACATTATGTTCATGGCATTATTTACATGTATTATCTCATTTAATCTTCACACAGTCTTCCAAATGAAGTACTCTTATCATTTCACTTTATAGATGAAGAAACTGGAGTTTAGAAAGGTTAAGTATCTGGCTTCACATCATCCAGTTGTTAAGTATGGTCTAGATCTGTTTCTCCATTTCCTCTGTTTGGCTGTTTTTCCATGAGGATTAGGCTTAAGCATCACCTCCTTCTGGAAGCCTTCCCTCCAGTGTGATTTAGATGACCTTTTCCTCTATTCCCATTTAACCTTGTGAGCAGCTCTAGCTAGCACTTAGCACATTAGAATTTACTTATTTGTCTCCTGTACCATTAATTTTTCTAGTAGGTACAGGAAGGGAACTTCATTCTTCTGGCATAGGAAAATTAGTCTGCATCCCAGAATATTTATCTCTAAAAGGAGAATTCATGTTGAGAGCCTTAAAACCTAATGTCACTCTGGACCTACTCTTCATTCTATACCAGCAAGGCCCTCAAATTTCAGAGAAACCATAGAACAGTTAAGAATATTTCTATATTAATTCTTCCAAGTTTAAAAAACAGTGTCCCTGATCTTGTTTTGGCTTTTGTTGTTTAGTTGCTAACTCTTTTCCAACACTTTTGCGCCCCAGTGGACTGTAGCCCACCAGTCTCCTTTGTCCATGGGGTTTCCCAGGCAGGAATACTGGAGTGGGTTGCCATTTCCTTCTCCAGGAGATCTTCCTGACCAGGGATCAAATACACATCTTCTGCTTTGGCAGGCGGATTCTTTACCAGAGTCACTCAGCAAAGCCCTAAGGGAAATTGCTGCTACTGCTGCTAGGATGCTTCAGTTGTGTCTGACTCTACTCTGTGCGACCCCATAGATGGCAGCCCACCAGGCTCCCGTCCCTGGGATTCTCCAGGCAAGAACACGAGTGGGCTGCCATTTCCTTCTCCAATGTGTGAAAGTGAAAAGTGAAAGTGAAGTCGTGTCTGACTCTAGCGACCCCATGGACTGCAGCCTACCAGGCTCCTCCGTCCATGGAATTTTGCAGGCAGGAGTACTGGAGTGGGCTGCCATTGCCTTCTCCGAAGGGAAACTGAGGCACCAAGAAAATAAGTAACTTACCCAGCATCACACATTTTTTAAGTGGCAGGTGTGGAATTCGAAATCTCTAAAAACTATACTGTACAGAATACTGAATCCTTCTTACCCAGGGTCTCATAGTACAGTCTTTGTTAGGATGAAGTAAATGAGGAGTAGAGGTAAAATTATATGGTGCAGCTCTCCTGTCATGATCTTATAGAAAGTGATGCTTTACTATAGATTTTTTAAAATGTGTTTTCTTTTTAAAACACCGTCTTTTTAGTATGAATGAAAGGATCTTTCATGTTATCTTTATTACAAAGTTAATATCAGTTCTGAGCTTCATACCCAATTTAATTCTTACTTTCCCAGTGAATAATAGCAACAAGAAGTCTAACATATTAGTTGAGACTTAGGAAGCTGATAATCATTTTTCTTCTCCTAGCAACTTACATTAGGTAATTCCAGAATCCTGTTTTCTTAATTTATTTGAGAGATACATCTCCCCAATGCCCCCTCCCCCATCCCTTAAGCATTGCTGTGGATGTTTAATTTTGAGAATGCTAATTAGCTTCAGTAATTACACACCTTGAGGCATGTCTAGACATTTATAGCTTTGTATTTTTGGTTTGGAATAGGATGTGTTGGAACTTTTTGCCTTTTGTGTCTTTTTTTCTTTTTTCAAGAAGGCTTTGAATTTAGTTCATGGAGGAGCTTGTTAATCTAAATTCAGTCATGGAATTTAGGGCTATTGCAGATTTATTTAGCCAGTATCCAGGAATATGATACTTATTTTTTGCTAATAGTATTTTGAAGTCACCAAATGTAGTTCTTCTTTAAGATGATGCCTTATGTTGTAGATGGGTTTTGGAATCAGACCAATATGGAGAATGTAATTTCATTAAACACCCAGCCTAGTTTTAGGGTTTGTGTGAATCGGAAAGCACATCCTCAACAGGTCCCCTTTGTTGACACATTTTTAATTCTCAGTTATTTAGGGTATGCTGCTACACTATCTTTTTACCAGACTTCCTTCTGTCTTTCTGAAAGTGTTAGGTACAATGTTGTCAATGTTTTAGTCTCTTTCAGAATAGATTTGTTTCCAAATTACCTACTTCTGCCACAGTATTTTAACCTTTAGTTTGAAAATGAGCATTCACCAGAGAGATGAGTGGATTGTTTTAAGAAAATTTGAAAGTCATAATGTTTGTTAGAAAAGCTTTGTTTATTTATTTGTGGCTGCGCTGGGTCTTCGTTGCCAGGCAGGCTCTCTCTAGTTGTGAACGGGGGCTACGCTTCTCAGCGGTTGCGTGGGCTTCTTTCTGCAGTGGCTTCTCTTGTTGCAGAGCGCAGACTCTAGGGTTGTGGGCTTAAGGAGTTGCAACTCTTGGACTCAGAGCACCGGCTCAGTAGCTGTGACAAACGGACTTGGTTGCTCCATGGCATGTGGGATCTTTCCAGACTAGACCTGTGTCCCTTGCATTGACAGGCGGATTCTCAACCAGTAGACCACCAGGGAAACCCCCATAATAATGTTTTGAGAATGTGATGGGGTGCAGGATATGGTTTGTAGACTTACTTTGAGCTCTTTAAGAGCTGATAGGATTGGCCTATGCAAGATACAGCAGGCTTAGGGAGAAAAGCATGAGCGACTTGCAGAAAGGCGCTTTTCCCTAAACTGTGCTTTTGGATATCCTTCTACTACATCCCATCATATTTGGAGCTTAAAATAAGAACTTCAGTATAATTTAGTTAATTGCATTATCCTCTCTGGTAGAACTATGTGTGAAATTACTGAGTATTTTTAGTATCCCTGTGCAGGAAGGTGAGGCATCAAGTTAAGGAGAACAAAATTGTCCTTATATTAAAGACATACTCTACAGTTTTAGTTAGTTTCATTTTTAAGGAAACTGTTCTGAAATTAGAGGAAGCAGCTAAGTGAAATAGCCATATATAAATAATTCATTTTCTGGTTATGCCAGACTTGCTTACATGTGATATTGATGTTGAGGTACTGGGCAACCATTCCATACTTACTTTTTGTAGTCAATGGTTTATTAACAATGGTTTATTTGTTATGCCAGGAACTGTCAGAGAGTAAGGAATATAACAGTGAAAAGAAAAGGAAAAATCCTTGCCCTTGTACATCTTACGTTTTTCCCCCAGTTTTATCCAGATACAATTGACATGCAGCTCTGTATAAGTTTAAGATGTACTGCATGATGACTTGGAATAAGAAAGGATTACTGCAAAAAGTTTTATTAACATTCATCTCTTTGTGTAGTTTTAAAAATTGGAGCTTAACATTTTACTGGGAGAAATGATCAATGCCATCAAACTTCCATGGAATTAATGCAGAATTCCTTAAATTGAAACTTATAGATGGTGGTGTTTTGGTTGTAGTTTCTCTGAAAATTGGCTCTACTTTTTTGTCTTTGGTACCTGTTTTGCCCTTCCAGGGAGAAGTGTGATGGCAGAACATGTAATAAATGACATTTCAGTTTGTCCCAGATTTGCTTCAGGTGCCCTGTAAAATAATTTTGAAAATTATTTAATTGTATTAAAATCCTACAGTGGCGTTTTTAACTTGCTTATTTTACAGATCAGTTAAGTGAGGGCTATAGCGGTGGCTGCTGCTCAGTTCACACAGCTGGGGTGCCGTGGTTAGGTAGGTCTGTTCCTAACGATTTGAAGTCCCAGGATGAAAGTGTGAATGGAAGCATATATTCCATGTGTTTAGATATTTAAGTTATGAATCAGAATTCTGTTTATTTATTTGACTGCTTCTGGTCTTAGTTGTGGGATCTTTCATTACAGTGCATGGACTCTTAGCTGTGCTCAGGCTCAGTAGTTGGGGCCTATGGGCCTAACTGCTCTGTGGCATGTGGGATCTTAGTTCCCCGACCAGGGATCAAACCTGCATCCCCTACATTGCAAGGCAGATTCTTAACTCTGGACCACCAGGGATTCCTGAAATCAGAATTTTTTTTTTTTTTTTGAAATCAGAATTTTAAACAAAACTTTGGAAAAAAGAAACTGTCCTCCTGCTTAGATATATTTTCATAATGTCCTGGAAGGCCAGAATTCTTGGACTTCTCAGAGTTCTGAGACAGGAAGGTGACAATACAGGGATGTCCTGTTAAATCTAGTCTCTGTCTGCATCCATCTCATCATTTGTCCCTTGCCCCCCATTCAGACCATGGGATGTGAACAGGTATTGTCTGTTGAGGACAGAGTTTGAGGAGAGACCCTCTGAAGGCCCTGGAAGTAAGTTTGAGCCTTGGGCAGGGCATTCTAGGATGCAGAGACTATAGTTGGTGGTGGTAGAGTCGGGGGCTTCTGGTAGGGCTGACCCCTTGGTCCTATAAGTATCTTGCCCTGAGGGGATAGACAGGTTAGAAGAGCTTCAGAGTGGATCTGTCTAAAATACAAGACTCAGAATAGGCTTTCTTTATAACAGCCAAGGGTGGTACTAGCACCAGGACTCAAACTCAGGTATATTTGACTATACTGTCCTTTGTCAACAGTGAGAAGGTGTGGATTTACATAGAAAGGACATGATTGTTTATTGTTTGGTGAGTGCAGCAGGTATGGAAAACAGCTAATTTGACCGTGTTATGTCATGCTTGGAGAAGTGCTTTGAAGTTGGGTTTTGTTTTGTTTTTTTTCTTTTGATATGGACCTTTTTTTTTTTTAAGTGTTTATTGAATTTGCTACAGTATTGATTCTATTATTTATGTTTGGGTGTTTTGGCCGAGATGCACATAGAACCTGTACCCGCTGCATTGGAAGGTGAAGTCTTAACCACTGAACTGCCAGGGAAGTCCTGGAGAAGTGCTTTGGATGGATCATGTTTTCAGTAAGCCAGTCTGTTTTACCTTTTAACATACTATTTAGTATTTAATCTTAAATTCTAGAGAATTTTTAAGAGTGGGAGGAAAAAAAAGCCAAATGAAACTTGTTCCAAGTGTGTTCTGATCTTTCTGCAGTTTAAGTTGAATGACATAGTTATGAGGAGACATAACCAATTTTTCTTCTGAAGATAGGTGAGGTAGAAGCATATTGGTCTGTTTATGTATTGGTCTGGAGTTTATGCTGAACAAGAATTTCTTCAGTACTGCTTGCTTTGCTTAGTTAGAATGAAACATTTATAAACGGACAAGATTATAGTTTCTGTTGTATTTTATATTATACTTTAAAGGTAGATTAGGCATCATTATATAGTCTTAAAATTTTCAGTTGTCTGAAATTGATCTTAGAATTAGGAAGAGAGAGTGGTGTGTGTTTTGGTGGCTGTGAAGATTTGCCATTTGGATGTGGATTATTAGATTTTCATTATACAGATTGTTGAGTTTGTAGAATACCTCTGGGCTCTAGTCATTCTTGTATTTAGTCCACAGGATACCATTATTCAGAAAGACTGTCCAGCCACACTTATTTATCAGATCCCATTCTTGAAGCATTCTTGAGTAGATTGAAACCTGGAAAATCTACATGAACCCGTGATCTTGGATTATCCTCATCTAATTATAAATTTGTCCCTTTTTTTTTTTTTTTGGACTGAGTTGCAAGGCTGACAGGATCTTAGTTTCCTGACCAGGATGGAACATGGGCCCTTGACAGTGAAAATGTTGCACCCTAACCACTGGACTGCCAGGAAGTCCCAAATTCATCAGTTTTATCAGACTTACAGTTTAATTTAAATGTGGAAATAATAATAGTCATGACATCTGTTCAGTTTTCAAGGTACTATTTTTTTTTTTTTTAAACAGGTGAGAATCTTGTGTTTGCATGTGTTGCATGATCAGATCTGTTAGTGGTGGAAAACTGAATAGAAAAATCTTGAGTGCTGTGTACTCTCAATTTTAGAGGTATAATTATTAGTTAAGTCTAAATTTATGTTATACCTAGAATGTAGTGGTATGAAAAATAGAATTTTAATCCCCCTTCTAATTTTTTTCTTAAGAACATGTCTTCCCTATGTCATTTGGATTTGCTTTTTTTTTTTTTTTAATGATACCTACTATTGCCAAATAGTACTATTGTTTATTACCTATCTTGTTACCAGCTTTGCCAAGTTCTTGGAAATAGTACTTGTTTTTTGAAAAAACACATTAGATTTCTGGCATCTGTTTTGAGTGACAATTTCAGCAGCATCCTGTATTGCAAATGGCTTGGGAATTGTTGACATAAATCATTTTTTCTGACTCCGATTCTTCCACCTAAGCTCTATTTTTAAGCCTTGCTGCCTTGCTCTATATTGCGGCAGTTCTTTTCCTGAATTATTTATCATTGTTTGGAGCTGAATGGAGCAGTATGTTTTTTTCGCCACTGCTCATTAGAACCCACGTGTCTGTCTTCGACTTGGTTGACAGATTTGGTTCATGTTAAATCCCACTGGCTCATCCCCGGAAGGCTGCAAAGCAGTGGATACAGGCCACAATCTGTGATGGCATTGTAAGATCCTTCAGGCTTTAAGATTATTGTTATTTTGTTTTGGCAGCAATGGTAAAGATAGAAGCTATGCCATGTTCTTCCCTTAGTCTGTGTTCACAGGGCAGTTATTATGCTGATTTTTGTTATGAAGCTTATTTTGTTTTTATAGTTATACTTTCAGGAGAGATGAGGAAGGAATCCCTACAAAAAGCATGACATTGATACAATATTCAAATTTAGTTATAAATATGACCCAGATACTTGGGGGCATTTTGAAATTATTTGGTCTTGGCATATGGGTTATGGGGAATTAACTTGTTTTGTTTGAGAGTATTTCTTCTCATTGCCTGTTCTTTCAGCTTCTTGGAGATTGTGGACTTGGAGGAAGGTGGCAAACTCCGAGAGTGAGACGTCATTTTGGATGTCTCCCCTTTTCTGTTTTCCAGTGCACCAGAGCCGTGGTTTCTGTTTTGTCTCTGTCCTCTGGTTTTCCTTCACCTTTTCTTTCTCTTTGATGTAGGAGCACACTACTATATGCATATTCTCTATTTTTAAAAATATTTCCCCCTTTTATATCATTGTAAACAGAAAGTACAGGTAGCTGTCACTCACTTGGGCAAAAGAGAAACCTTGTCTGTCCCCACTGCCCTGTTGTTCATCTTCGAGTTTTCTTTGGACCTTTTTAACAAAAGTCATAGTATAGATTTGGTTCCCATTCTTGGAGTAATGAAATGCTTTTTATACTTTGAACTAGAACAAGTTTTATAGCCTTCTGTTGCTTCTCACTGGTTGGTGATCATAGGTTTTGTCATTATTATCATCTCGCTAGCCTGTGATAGTAGTTCTCAGGTGCATAAATCCAACATATCTCAGAGGACCTAAGGACAGCCCCACTCACAGACTCTCTGACATTTCATTAAATCCCTCTCTGTGGACTGTGTCGGCCAGGTTAGACAAAGCCAAAGGTGCCGTCTTCCCCTGTGCTCTGCTCCCCTCTGAGCTATGTTGACTCTCTCTCAGTGCATTCCCGTGACCTCTTGAAAAATCCAGTGCAAAATTATGTTCTTTAGGGAACTTTCCTTGGTTCAAACTACCTAGCTCTTATTAATTTGTGTGTACTCCTAGTTTTTGTATTTATTCTATTTTCAAGTTGCTGATCGTGTAAAGCATAGTCCTTGCACTCTAGGAAGTCTTTATCTTAGGGGGGAATCAGAGATGAATGGACTTATTTTCCTAATTATTTTTTACTTCTTTTGGTTTTAAATTTCACATATATATTTTTAAATTTAGTTTTCATTTGTAAGAACAGGAGCAAGTATCTTGTTTTCTATAGAGGAAATCTGATGAACTGTTCCTACTGCTCTTAGCATGTGGTAGACAGCCACTTGCCTTAACATAGGGCAGTCTCATTGAATAATAACAGTTATCAGTGTAGGGAAAGAGGGATCCTAAGTTCTGGATATTCTCTATTTTGTATCTTTTATAATGATAAGAAGACTAAGACTTTACAGTCTTACTTGGAATTATATTTTGGAAACTAAAATGACACAGATTGAAAGTCCAAAAGATATGCTTGGTTTCTGAAGTAGCTATCCAAGTTTTGTCTGTATAATGAAGTTGGAGCATATTTATTACTGGCATGCTAGAAGGATGGCTTACCTGAGCAAAAGGTCTATCCCTGACAGTCTGATGGTATATTGTACATTCTTAACAGATTTGAGTTCATCTTAGTTTACTGTGAAAGTCTTTTAGGTGACATTCAAAACTAGAAAACGCATATCATCTGCAGAGCTGTTAACCTTATTTCCAGCCCCCGATGACAGTTTACTTGCATGAGTTTACCTTAGAAATCTTAATTCAGAGCTCACGTCCCTGCCCTTTTAAGAAGTGGAGCTGTGTTTCATTTTCCTAGCACTTCTTAGATCACTTGATGATGTTAAGGTGCTTGGGTAGTAGGCAGGGGTAGGAAAAGTGAGATTTGGCAGCATGAAAATACCTGAGTGCAGACTAGAAGGAAAGCTCCTTGAGGACGCTTATTTGCCTGACCCTTCTATAAGAAGTCAGTCTCCTGACTGCCCCTGCCACCTTCTTAGCCCCACCCCAGCCCCTCCAGCTGGATTCTCAGTCCCAGTGCTGCTGACTTTGTGCGGAGTTAGGGAATGGTCTCCAAACCTGCCCTCACTTCTAGAACCAATTTCGGAGTTTGAGGATCTCCAAGACCACCCTTGGGGTTCAGTAATTTGCTAGAAGGACTCACAGAACTCAATAAAGGCTGTTCCACTGAAAGTTATGGTCCATCTCAGCAGAAGGACACAGATTACAATCAGCCTGCGAGAGGCGCAGCAGAAGGACACAGATTACAGTCAGCCTGCGAGAGGCGCACAGAGCCCAGGAGGGCTCCGAGCTGGGCGCCTGGCTGTTCTCTCCTGTGGGGACGTGGAGAGCATCAGCTCTCCCTGGTGGTGACGTCCAACAGCCAGCCCATGAAGCTCACCCGAGCCGTGGTGTCCAGAGTTTTGTGGGGGCCCCGCCATCCCCTGGGTATGGTTGCTGGCCTGGGCAGACAGCCTTAGTCTCCAGTCCCTCCTCAGATGGAGCTGATGGTGTGTGACTCAGAGTTCCTGCCGTAAATCCCATTGTTAGGCTGTTTGGCACAGTTTATGGCCCCCTAGTAAACAAAGACTCTTATCAAACAAGACATTCCAGCAATTTAGGGTTAGTTCTAGGGTTCTAAAGGCAAAAACCAGAGTTTTTTGAGGGGCAGAGTTAACTTTTTTACAACACACTATGCTAGTTCAGACCTTAGGCCCAACCAAGTAAAAGGGGAAGGGAACTAGTTTAATTTTTGCTTTTTTTTTTGCCACATGGATGTGGGATCTTGGCTCCCTGACCAGGCATTGAACCTGTGCCCCGTATAGTACAAGCGTGGTGTCTTAACCACTGGACAGCCAGAGAAGTCCCTAGTTTAAATTTTTTGAACCACATATATTTATTTTCTGGTCAAAATCTAGACATATATAAACTGAATTTTTTTAAAAAGTAGATCCAAATTGTTAGAGCTCCTGGGCACCTGGGAGCAGCAAACTCAGGTCATCTGTGGTGGAATATACGTCACCTCTCCTTCAGGGGGTTCAGAGGCGGCTTGTTAACAGGCATGAGCTCGTAACAGTATAGCCAGCAGACAGGTGACTGTGAGTAAGTCTCAATAGAAACAGTTGACTCAGATCTACAGGAACTTCAGATATTTGGATTATTTGATATAGAACATAAAATAAGTATATTTAATGAAATAAGAGTGTGAATAAAAACCATGAATAACAAAGAAGAGAAACAAACCAAAAAAAGAAAAAAGCAACACTGGTTGATTTATAAAACAAGCCATTAAATATTTAAAAAGTAAAAATATATATATAATTCAGAGTT